CAAATTTACATATGACGTATTCTTCTAGGCAAATCATGTGTAAACTAATGTTGTGTTTAATGGTATTTGTCATTTGATTAGTTGTTTTAACTAAATTTGGAATTTACTTAGAAAAATTAACATTCAATGGAGCTATCTGAAATAAATTATTTGACTATTTGTGGTGACTTTAGTAATTTAATGGTTGAATTCATGAGTTAATAAAATCTAGATGACCATGAGAATCTTTGGAGTATTGAACGGTCGTTTCGTCTCAGTATGGGGCTCCTCAGCCGTGCGCATCCATAGTCCCGATCGCGGGATCCAGATCCACAACTCTTAACCTCTAGACCACCGAGTTGGCCAGCATCCAACGCTGTTAATGTCTAACTTCAACTAATCCACAGAAATGCGCCACCGTCCACTATTGTCTTTAGTAAGTTAATAACTCACAGCAAACCTGGTTGAATTCCATCGATCACGACTTCTTACTAGAACTCCAGGAAATACCTCTTGAAACCAGTCACTAGTGATCACATGATGATTATATTCATAAATTAGTTTTGTGGAGATTTTGATAATTTAATAGTTAAACTCATGACTCCGCTTCGTCCTAGTATGGGATTCCTCAGCAATAGGTAACCACGATCCCTTACGGTTTAATTAACTCGTGAAATCAACTATTAGATTAAATGATAGTAAGACATGAATTACTTGCCAGTATTACTGCTTAATAACATCGGAAATTAAAAATTATAAACTTTGAGGTGATGTATATAAAATAGCCGAGTGATCATTCTGACAGAACATAAATCTCTAACTACTGAGATTAGCTCACCAATCATGAGTTTTCTCACATTAAAACTGTAAATATGAACTACCTGATTCTGGTTAACAAACAAAATAACTTAAATGGACAAGTTTAATGTGAAATTGGTTCATATCTCAAATTCACTGTTAAACTGAATAGTTCAAAGCAAGGCCCAGTGACCAATACATTGAATAGTACATTTTTAAATATCAGATAAAGTATAAATTAGTATCAGAAGGGGTTTTGTGTATATTATAGTAATTTCAATAGTTGAGATCATGAGCCAGTTGAAGCTAGACCACCATGGAAAACCTGGAGGTACTGGAAGGCCGTTTCGTCCTATTATGGGACTACTCAGCAGTGCGCATCCACAGTCCCACTCGCGGGATATGAACACAGGACCTGTTGGTCTCGCATGTGAACTCTTAACTTCTAGATCACTGAGTCAGCCGGCATCCAACGGTGTTAATGTCTAACTAATCCACAAAATTGCGCTACACGTCCACAATAAGATTAAACGGCCGTCCATTGCTTCCAGGTTTTGCATGGTGGTCTAGCTTCAATTGACTCATGATCTCAACTACTGAAAGTATAAATTATTTAAAGCAATCAGCTCCATGCAAGCATCAATTGATGATATTTGTTTCTAATCACACTTAAGTTGAGCTGTTGTAATTTAAGATTATTTGTAATAAAGTAGAAAGTCGAACCATCTTTTCAATGACGATTATTGTTTATTCAAATTGTATTTTTCATAAGGCTTTTGTAATAAAAAACTGACAATTTTTCTCTAATACAATGGATCAGTAGTATGAACACGCCTCTAAATGTCCTGGTACGGCCGAGAGTAAGAAAAGTCAGCTCTCCCTTTCTCTCTCTTGAAGTGCTCTCACATGGCCACGTGCATACAACCACTTTCAGGGAAGTACTAATCACTGTTTTCTCATGGCATTACTTTCGTTTATGAAATTGAGAGGACGAAAAGCAATTGTTCAGTGCTTTAACCGGGTCGGTGGATACGAAGAGTCCACCTAAGGGAGTTGGAAAACACTGATTCCAAACTAGTGGTACACATGGGTTGGCTCCAGGATCTTGGGGGACTAAATGGTGTATGAACCAATTATTGGTCACCGGTTACCATGAGACTGCATCTCCTGACATCGCTCCACTGTCTTGTGTATCAGACCTTTAGGTTGAAGGCTCTGTGTGTGGCCTCCTAAGGAAACTAACTGCTTCGGTTCGGGCACCCGGAAAGTATCCTAGCTCTCACACAAATCGAATGATTTATGTGGCGCACATCCAACTGCATACCAACCTCATACTCAACTGCGTCACAAGGCAACCCTCTTCATAGAATCCTCAAGGCGGCCTGTGCTCCGTTGGGGGGTAACAGGCGTAAGTAATTAAGTAGGTAAGTAATCTACTCGGTTCCTCCTTGTACCAATGTTTATGTGTTTAAATAAATGAAATAATAAATAAATATGAACACAATTATTGCATAGTCTATATCAGTTAATACAACAATAATATTTATCATTGGAATAATTATGTTTAGGTTGTACTAATGTTCAAACTGAACAGAATAAAACAGAAATGTAATAATACTGTAAACTTTAACTTCTTTCAATTTTGTCTATTCTATCATAATTTGACAGATAGTTGACATATAGTTCATTGTATCCTAGCTTAATTTGTATGTATACTCAGTCTGGTTAACTTTATTGGCCCATATCAGATAATCCCTAACAATAAATTTGATGATATATTAGTGTCTGTTTCATAAATTCAAAATGGAAATATGATAAACAACAGCTTAACTTAAAGTAGTCTGATTTACGATTGAGCCCTTTGATGAGAGATGTTTGTTCGTGTGTTGAAAAAAACATTTCTCTATTTAAAAGGAAAAATAATGAATTTTTGTATTAGATAATAATTTGTCATAGTGATATAGTAGTTAAGCAAGAATGATAATTATAGTTTAATTTGGTAGGTTAATGAATGAATTGGATATGAGATAGGTATTTTGTAATCAGCTGCGCTTTGAATAAACTTTATCTTTAGATAAGATGATGGTTGGAGGTAGTTAGCAGAAAATGCTGGACCCAGGTTTCGTGCTACTTGGCACTCGTCAGCAAGGTGTACCTGTAATCTTGAGGGAAGTGGTGTTCCCTGATGGATTCAATCCCATGTCACCCAGCTTCACAGTCAGAGACGTTACAACTGACCTATACAGGCCACGACCGTAGTGTCGAGTCACCTAGACTAGTGGCCACATTGCAACTTGGTCAATAGCATTCGATCTACACTAAGAAAGACTTGACACACATGACATTGATCACCACCCAGTGATCAATCAAATGTAAAACTTTATGTTTGTTTGTTTTTATGCTAAAGCTTATGTGCATAACTCTGAATTTTACAGATCTTTGATGACTAGTGGTCTTGTCCTTTGATATCCGAATAATGTCAATAATCCGGGTTTTGTAAGTGATCAATAATTGAGTATATGATTCATATCAGTTCAGGAGATTAGTTACACAATTTTCACATATTTTCACCATTAAAGTAAGTAGGAATGAGTACTGTATCTTTGCTTGACAAACTAATAACTTGTTGGTAATTCTAATGCCTTCCTCAGTTACGTTGGTGTTTTTGCGACCTACTGAATGTTTGTATACATAGATAATGAACCAATTGGTATGATATTGTGGTGTGTGCTACTAATATCAATAGATATGAGTTGTATGTATCATCAATCGAAAGGGAAATGCCTGGAGGTAGAAGGTTAAGGAGATCGAAAAAAAACGAACGAGAACAAAGAATGATTTGTATGGAAACGAAAGAATAATGAAATCTGAGATGATTGATCGACATTTTGCAAATGAAGTATTTACTTTATGGTTCTCAGATTTTACCAAGACATTCTGTAATTTTGTATTTAAATACATTCAATTTTCCCCACTTGTATTCCCATTTACTACAATACTTGTGGCTTTTCTCACCCACCTTAATAGTGTTTTATGAACAGGTGTCAGTCAACATGATTCTAAGCCATCCTAGGTTGGAACGATCATGAAAACCTTTATCAAATTTGGAGAATTAGACGTCATGTGTAGGTTTAATCCACAATCTTATTTGAAATATGAATGTATTCACTTGACTGAATAAGTATTACACTAAAAGACTTATTTCGGTTTTCGCCTTCAAAACAATTGCAGAGTTTCTACTTCATCGCATTTCTAATTTAAAGCGACAAAGTATACCTATGGTCACTACCCACAGAGGACGAGTTTATATAATCTTCATTAGCATCTAAGTAGTTTTAACTATGAATCCAGTCAGAATGATATTTTAAGTTCTATTTGTTCTTTAAGGATTATGAAATCAATTTTTAGGTTGGGAAAATATAATAAATAGCGAGAATGGTGTGGTGGCTACTAACCATATTTATGATAACTTTTACTGCTTTCCAGTAAGAAATTGGAACTGTAGTGAAGGGAAACACAAATAGGAACAATCGAATGTACTCAAACACAAAATTACAGAACATTTTAGTAAAATCTGAGAACCGTACAATAAATACTTCATTTGTAAAATGTCAATCATTTATCTCAAACTTGATTATTCCTCTTGTAAAGATTAGTCAATCGTCTCAGACTTCATTGTTCTTGCATTTTTCTATACCAATCACTTTCTGTTCTCATTCGGTCTTCTTGACCTTCTATTGCCAAATATTCTCTTCTTCACTAGTGTTATATATTACTTATGTCTTTATAAGTAGCATATAGGAACCTGTAAAATCATGCAAACCTGAAGGTTGGTGGTAATACAACCTGGATACTTATGTTAAATTACAAATTTCTTTTAAAAAAATTTACTGACCTATTCATTCAAATTTATTATGTTTACTGTTTAGATTCAAAGATACAACATCTAATACAATGTAGGCTATTTCACCCTGATGACTGTACAACTTTATATTATTTTAATAATCATACAAATATGAATATATATATATTGGTTTTAATTAAAAACTGAACAAGTTTGTTCTGTTTTTTTTTTGTTTTTTTTTTCAAACTTCATTTGACTAGTGTATCCGTTAGTAACCAATAGTAACAAATGTTATACTGACTTCTTACTTTTTTTTGTTAAATCATGGGAAATTGCACAGTAATATTTAAACCAATCAAATATTAGTGTGCTAAATCATGTTTAAACTAAAGAGGAAATATATTCCTGATAATCAAGTTTCTGTACATAATCAATTTGACTGTTTTAAAAAGCTTCTGTTTTTGTTCTGTTCTGTTTTGTTTTTTCATTTCAATTAACATTTGGTTTCAAATTGTCAGATTAGCTGGAAACAATTTTTTTTGTTGCTGTTGTTATTATTCAAATGATGATTATATGTATATGAAAAGAAAAATATCTTGTATCCTAAAAGACCCCCCCCCTACAGAAAATAAAAAAATAAAAGAAAACCATTCACAAAAAGAAAACAAATAAGAAGAATTACTGATGTGAGATTAATATTTTAGAGTATTAAACAATCTGTACTATTCATTCACAATATGTATCTAACGATAGAGTTCAATGTTTACATAATACTTGGTTACCATGGCGACAAGTAAGTTGTGTTATTTCGTACCCATATATTATGTCATTTTTTCCCTGTTTTTTATATAATATTTATTTCATTCTAATTTGAATAATTTGTTAAAATTGAATTCAGTGAGAATATCTTTCTCTGTAAATATTTGTTATGATTTATTACTTATCAGCAGTCTAGTCTGAGCCATTTTGGTAGATGCAGACTACTCGGTTGGGGTCTGCGTGACTTTCGTAACCAATGATTGAAGACTCTGGATGACATGGCTTAGAATCGATCACATTCTCTGTCTTTCTTTAAATTAAGAGGTTAAAATCGCTTCATATCTTTCATTCTACGAATTAATTCTTTCATCCTGTACTATGTTCTCTTATGCAATCTTTTATATATTACCAACACTGAATTAACTACTTCTATAAATCTGGTGTTAATCTTGTTGTGTTAATGAGGTATGGGAACTTGAACCGATGCACATATGTGACTGGTTCTACGTTAGGATTGACTGACTGACTTAGTCTATGCTGACAATATTTGAATACCCAACCGTTGTCGCTATGTGAATTAGCCATTGATTTAATAAGAGTATTTTGAAAGGTAGAAATGAGATATAATAATCTATCCTATGATAAATGTTTGAATGAGAAAACTTTCTATACAGTATGTCAGTTATAGTTATTTTTTAATGTTTCTAGATGGACATATTATTCTGGATAACTTATTGTATAATAAATGTTTATAGCTAGAATTATTTAATTTATCAGGCATTCTTCAAGGTAACTAAGTTAAATAGAATAACATTAGTTATCTCATCATAATTACTTACTTACGCCTGTTACTCTCGTGAAGGAGCATAGACCGTCCACCAGCATTCTTCATCCAATCTTGTCCTGGGCAATCTTTTACAGTTCTTTCTAATTGATTATCATACTTTTCATGTCTCCTTCCAATCCCCGACGTAGTGTGTTCTTCTGTCTTCCTCTTTTTCGTCTCCCTTCAGAATTTCAAGTTAGCGTTTGCTTCTTGATGTAGTTTGATAATTTCATCAATGTATGTATGCATGATTTCATTATAATTGTAACTTAGGATTCTTTTATTCAGACTGAAATACTTTGACCAAACTAGCAATAACTCTGCAATATGTTTAAAAGTACTCATTGATAGAAGAATGTTAAGAATATATACACTTCCATCCAAATAGGGAGACTAATAAAGTAAAGGATTTCATAGGAGATCTATCTTCATGTAAGAGAGATTATCAGTGATTCATAAAGCTAAATTTCTGAATAAAAGTAAACACATGACTTTTAGGATTGATTAGTATCTTACAGTTTTGTCGGGTGAATGTTCTAAAGCAAACCTTCGTTTGTCAGCCACAAAAGTCCCCGTAAAATTCAAACATATCTGATATATAGTCAGACAGAATTCAAGGGGTAGTTTCGTCATTATAACTAACTATTTAATTATGACCTATAAATTTGTACATAATACTATTCAAGTGTATTATTAATTGTTTCAAAATTTCTGATATAAGGTCACCTAAAGCTTTAATAATTAATTTGATATTCTTTTGAACTACTGACAGATTGTCTTGACTACCAGGTTACTTAAACGATTCTATTACCTAGTTAATTTTTATGTCTATAACTATATTCATAAAGTGTATACCTAGAGGTAGCTTCTGTTTCTTCTGTAACATTCATGAAATAGATCATTCATCATAATTGGAGAACTAACAATCTCCACAGAACCCCTTCTGATACTAATCAACATACGCTCACTAGTGAATGGCTTCAAGAGGTATTTCCTGGAGTTCTGAAGCGAAGCAGTAACCAATGAAGTTCAACCGGGTCAGTTGTGAGATAGTAACTCACTGAAGACAATGGTGGATATGTGGCTCAGTTTCGTGGATTAGTTGAAGTTAGAAATTAACACCATTTGATGCCAGCTCAGTGTTCTAGTGGTTAACTGCTCGAGCGCAAGACCAGTAGGTCCTGGGTTCGAATCCTGCGAGGCATGGTTGTGTATGCGCACTACTGTGGTCTCACAGTAGTACGAATCGGCCGTCCAGTGCTTCCAGGTTTTCCGTGGTGATCTCACTTCAACTGACTCATGATCTCAACAATTGATATAACAATGATGAGTCAGTTTACGAAGAACACTTTCTATCTGTTCATGTCTTTTTTTCAAATTCTGTATAATAGGAATGAAAAGTTTTTCAAATTACAATTAACTTATGATTCTACCATAAGACTTTTTGTTTCAGATTCAGATTTTTGTAGTAAGGACAGAAGGCCTACGGCCTATATTATTCCTTGTCTAGTATGCTTCTGTGAGTGTTTAGTTTTCTCTTGAATGATTTGATTGAAGTTACAGACACTACTGCTACGGGTAACAGGTTCCAAGAATTGATGGTACAGATACTGCATTTAGCGTCTAGTCTGAAACTAATTTTTATAATGGAGTAGAGTGTAGAATAATGTTCATAAGGGAAGATGAAAAAGAGAATAATAAGAGAAAGTATGATCCAATGTGATTGTACCCTTATAGAATACACTTTCATATAATAATGAAAGGAATTAATAACAACTAACAATAACACCAGTTAGATTATGGTAATTTTTTCAATTAAAATCTAGAAGTTGTAGCCTAAGATTACGAACCTGCTAGAAAGACAGTTTAACTTTGCAACGACTTGTATTGACACAAACAAAAGCTTGGCATATGCTTGTTACATTGTTCTTCAAAAATGACAATAAAATAATCGCTGTTATGTCTTGTTGCCTGCTGGATATCGCGTGACTTATTCATCAATCAGAACACGAGTTATACAATTATATTACTGTGCCAAAACAATGACGCATTCGCCGGTATAAGTTGCCTAGTATCCTTATTAATCCCTTTTCCGCATAACCCTACCTGTTGAGACCAGAATGACAGTATCATCTTGCACTGTATGAATCATATATTTCAAACATACTTGGTTTATATACAAGGAAACCAGACCATATCATACCATAAAATAGGAAATAACATTTATTCGACGTCAAGACAAAAAGTGGCTCTGATTATGAGAGACCGTAATTAATAAATTGGGTATAACCTAAGATTAGTAAATCGTATAATAGTAGTCTATAGGTAGAAATAAAGCTTATGATAAAGAGGATTTTAAAAACACATCCTAGCTACTCAATAGTTACGCTATGAGAATCTATGTATAATATTAGTCCAATAATAGTTCCCAAAAGTTATCTATAATTTAATCTTCTCTGGAATATGACAATTGCAGCATACATTATGATTCAGACAAATATACTTATGCAGGAAAGGTCAAAATATATAAAAACTAAAATGGTTGTTGGTGGTGCAACTACGCTGATTGGTTGAAGTTAGACATTAGCACCGTTAGATGCCGGCTCAGTGGCCTAGTGGTTAAGCGCTCGCGCGCGAGACTGATAGGTCCTCGGTTCGAATCTCACGAGATGGGGTCGTGGTTGCACACTGATGAAGAGTCTTGTACTAGGACGAAACGGCCGTTCAGTGTTCCTAGGTTTTCCATGGTGGTCTCGCTTCAACTGACTTATGAATTCAACTATTGAATTCACATTTTTCTGTAACAAGCATTGTTCTATCTTTATTTGGATTTGTAAAGCAGTTGATTTTTAAAAATTAAATGCTTCATCTCGAATGTTTCCTTAAAGTTATCAAACCTCATTTTACTTAAATGGCATATAATCATTACAAGAACATATACTTGGAAAGTCTTTTCAAGATCAGTGTCAACTGACTTTCTTAGAGGGAATCAAGTGTTTTCTCAACGATGAGTAATCCAACAATCAAGTGTAGTGTGCAGTAAACCAAATAACAATCACATTCTTTCTCGATTGTAGCCATAATATGCTTAATTTCTTACATTATGAGACACTTATGAGGCACTTATCACATTACAATTGATTTGATATTGTTGAATTTACAAACTTTCAGTTAATGAGTGTCAAATATAACAAAATAGGCTATTTTGGTTTGTTTTACTAACCGCAATTCAAAATATAATAAAATTTGTAATAACAGGTTAAATAAGAAAGATTAGTTCAGCTCACTGCTAAGGAGTCCTACAAGAGGACGAAACGACCATCTAGTGCTTCGAGGTTTTCAATGGCGGTCTAACATCAATCAGTTCAGGATCTTAATCAAAAGCTTAATAATCTCCGCGACCCTATACTGCATGGTTTAATGTTTTAATGGTTGTGTTCCGTTTATTAAAATATTACAGGTTACTTTAAGATATTAGCTAAGGGTTATATCTTAACAGTAACGATAGTAAAGTGAACCTTTTTACATATAATTAACATGATAAATCTATATCTAAACACGTTTATATTCACTTTATCTAATTCCTCTATCTTCCATATAATCTAATTATCAGTATGAAGTAACAAGATAATGAATAACCTAAAATTTCTTTTCATGAACTGTTTCTGCGATAAATAACTTCCTTAGTTTGGAGGGAACTTCTTGTGTTATGCAGTGTCATACTGTGAGCATTAAAATGATTAAATCTCTTTTTAATTACGCAATAGATTAGGACAATTTAAATTGGTATATCAGGTTAGCACAACCCAACCCATTCTACTTCTACCTATTATTCTTAATATCAAAGTGGTTTTGTGAATATTATAATAATTTTTTTAATAGTTGAGATCATGAGTCAATTGAAGTTAAACCACCATGGAAAGCCTGGAAGCACTGGACGGCCGATTCATCCTCAGCAGTGCTCATTCACGATCTTACTCAGGATATTCTATCTCACAACCTTTCGGTCTCGCACTCGAACGCTCAATCTGTAAACCACTGAGCCGGCCGGCATTCTGCAGTGTTAATGTCTAACTTCAACCAATCCACGAAATTATGCCACTGTCATCCATTGTCTTTAGTGAGTTACTATCTCACAACTGACCCTGTTGAAGTCCATTGGTTAGTGCTTCTCATTAGAACTCTAGGAAATACCTCTTGAAGCCATT